ATTTCCCTCAAAAAACCCCAAATGACTCCTCCCACCATATTATGATGTTTCCCAAGTTTTGGGCTCGATATGAAACCAATAGGTGTGAGAAATTGGACAATTCAAGTTCAACGGCAATTCGTTCCTAATTGGAGTGGTTGGGGTAATTCATAGTTCTAAAAATTGGATTTCACTCAAAACAAACCGAATGACTCCTCCCACCATATTATGATGTTTCCCAAGTTTTGGGCTCGATCTGAAATCATTTGTTGTAAGAAATTGGACAATTCAAGTTCAACGGCAGTTCGTTCCTAATTGGAGTGGTTGGTGTATTCCACACTTCTAGCGATTGGATTTCACTCAAAAAGTCACCACATGACTCCTACCACCATATTATGATGTTGCCCAAGTTTTGGGCTCGATCCGAAATCAATAGGTGTGAGAAATTGGACAATTCAAGTTCAGTGGCAGTTCATTCCAAATTGGAGTGGTTGGTTTCAACGGCAGTTCGTTCCTAATTGGAGTGGTTGGTGTATTCCACACTTCTAGCGATTGGATTTCACTCAAAACACACCAAAAGACCCCTCCCACTATATTATGATGTTGCCCAAGTTTTGGGCTCGATCCGAAATCAATAGGTGTAAGAAATTGGATAATTCAAGTTCAACGGCAGTTCGTTCCAAATTGGACTAGTTGGTGTATTTCACACTTCTAGCGATTTAATTTCAATCAAAACTCACCACATGACTCCTACCACCATATTATGATGTTGCCCAAGTTTTGGGCTCGATCCGAAATCAATAGGTGTAAGAAATTGTGCAGTTCCAGTTCAAAGGCAGTTCGTTCCAAATTGCAGTGGTTGGGGTAATTCATAGTTCTAGCGATTGGATTTCACCCAAAACACACCAAATAACTCCTCCCACCGTATTATGATGTTGCCCATGTTTTGGGCTCGATCTGAAATCAATAGGTGTGAGAAATTAGACAATTCAAGTTCAACGGCAGTTCGTTCCTAATAGCGGTGGTAGGTGTATTCCATACTTCTAGTGATCGGATTTCACTCAAAACTCTCCCAATGACACCTCCCACCATATTATGATGTTGCCCAAGTTTTGGGCTCGATCCGAAATCAATAGGTGTGAGAGATTGGACAATTCAAGTTCAACTGCAGTTCGTTCCTAATTGGAGTGGTTGGTGTATTCCATACTTCTAGCGATTGGATTTCACTCAAAACACACCAAATGACTCCTCCCACCATATTATGATGTTGCCCAAGTTTTGGGCTGGATCCGAAATCAATAGGTGCGAGAAATTGGACAATTCAAGTTCAACGGCAGTTCGTTCCAAATTGGAGTGGTTGGGGTAATTCATAGTTCTGAAAATTGGATTTCACTCAAAACACACCAAATGACTCCTCCCACCATATTATGATGTTGCCCAAGTTTTGGGCTCGATCCAAAATCAATAGGTGTGAGAAATTGGAGAATTCAAGTTCAAAGGCAGTTCGTTCCAAATTGGAGTGGTTGGGGTAATTCATAGTTCTGAAAATTGGATTTCACTCAAAGCACACCAAATGACTCCTCCCACCATATTATGATGTTGCCCAAGTTTTGGGCTGGAACCGAAATCAATAGGTGCGAGAAATTGGACAATTCAAGTTCAACGGCAGTTCGTTCCTAATTGGAGTGGTTGGTGTATTCCATAATTCTAGCGATTGGATTTCACTCAAAACTCACCAAATGAGTCCTCCCAACATATTATGATGTTGCCCAAGTTTTTGGCTCGATCCGAAATCAATAGGTGTATGAAATTGGACAATTCAACTTCGAAGGCAGTTCGTTCCAAATTGGAATGGTTTGGGTAATTCATAGTTCTGCCGATTGGATTTCACTCAAAACACACCAAATGACTCCTCCCACCATATTATGATGTTTCCCAAGTTTTGGGCTCGATCAGAAATCAAGAGCTGTGAGAAATTGGACAATTCAAGTTCAACAGCAGTTCGTTCCTAATTGCGGTGGTAGGTGTATTCCATACTTCTAGCGATTGGATTTCACTCAAAACTCACCAAATGACTCCTCCCACCATATTATGATGTTGCCC